TGTCAAAGTAATGATTCACCCACTTTGTCTCCTCAGGACTTTCGGGATGCTGTTGCCAAGGCAACCCGTCAGAATGGGAAGCCGGTGGTGGATGAGCGGATCCTCAGCCAGATCCTGTATTACCTGCCGCAGCTCTACCAGCTCAACAGAGACCTGCTGAGAGAGCTGGAGGAGAGAGTGGCACACTGGTAAACACACACAAACCTTTTGTTTTTGTGTGTTTACATTTTGGCAACAGTATGCCGAACGCCTCTACTATTACTGCTTTACTTTGATGCTGAATAAATCTTAAAAACATGAGTATTCTCAGGCAAGATCTGGAGTTACAAGTTCTATAATAATCTATAAAGAGGACTTATGGACATGTTTTCGTGATGAACATTGGAGACTATATCCTCGGGAAGTCTTAAGTCCCACTGAGTCTAGAATATATGAGTTATGACTCTAAGAAGGAGTTAATTTTTGGGTTTTAAAGTGCATCAACTGCCTCTTTGAGCTTTGTGTGACTCACATTTCTCCCCCCCACGCCCTCCCGGGGGCGTATCGAATAACTAACAGTTTGAAAACCCCTTATAAACCAGTTATAAGATAGTTTAAACAAAGGTGATGTATGATGTTTGATTTTGGGGGACAGCAGCTTCCTGGTTCAACATTGACTTACTGTAATTGCTGTCATTGTGCCTTTGTACATGGCAATTAACAATTTTAATGGACAGTTTGGGAACATTCACTGTTATTTTTTTTATCCAGTAAGTGTTTTACCTACTTTGTGTTTATCTGGAGGTTTGTTTACAACCTCTCAGATCATTTAAAGTTCTCACGCTGCTGCTCTGCTGGACTTTTTAGCAATGTTACAGCATCCATACATCTTAGCACTTCATGTATGTGAGTAAAATGTCACCATAAACACTTGGTTTATGTCCAATACTGAAAAAAATATGGTCACAAAATTTGAAAAACAATGTAATTTCCCATTAAAGGAAGTTCTTTCTTTCCTTTTCATCTGCTACTGCAGTGCTGAATGAAACTGTTTCCGTTTGTTCGGTTACAGGAGCGATCACCAGAGACTGTCGGACATCTTCGTCCAGAAGGGTCCTTACCTGAAGATGTACTCCACCTACATCCGCCAGTTCGACAACAACGTGGCGCTGTTAGACGAACAGTGCAGGAAAAACACCGCGTTCGCCGCTGTTGTCAAGGAGTTTGAGGTAGAGCTGGAAATACGGTTGTGTGTTTTTATTGACAACGTTTTTCTTATTGTATTATTTCTTAATTAGGGCATCAGCTAACAATTATTTCCACTATTGAATAGTCTAACTAATTGACAAACATTTATTTTCTTCTTCGTTTTTCAAAGCTGTAACTGTAATTTTTGATTCATCAGAATTCAGACATTTAAAGATAGTTCTCAGCTCTCTGCAGCTTCAGTCCAGAGTAGCTGCTATCAGCAGCAGCCATCTAAACACTGTATCTAAGGCATTTAATCCAAAGCTTCAGTGTCTGTGGATTTCCCTGGATTTGCAGCAGTGTGTGAAAACAACATTTTTGTTCGTTTTTATCTCAGATGAGTCCAAGATGTGCCAGTCTGGCTCTGAAACACTACCTTCTGAAACCAGTGCAGAGAATCCCTCAGTACCAGCTGCTGCTCACAGGTAAAAAAAAAAAAAAAAACCCTGACACACACATTCACTCCTTGTTCTGCAACGCTCTGCACACTGAAGGTCAAGGGTTTTATTGAATTACGCCGCTCTTTTATTGACGGCATGTGAATGACTCTTGGACTGTCACGTCTGTCTGTTGTGGCTTCTTTCGGGTTTTGGTACCATACTGGCACCCAGTGGACAGTAACAGTAACAGAGACCTGTTTGACATGAGGGAAACATCCATTTTCAAATTACTGGCTGCACACTGAAAATGGAGGAATTGACATAAATCTTTCTCAACAGTGGTGGAATTTAACTAAATGGATTTACTCAAGTACTGTACTAAAGTAAAGTTTAAGTATGTCACAATGTTTTCAGTGGGAAATATTGTTCTTTTTACTCCACTACATTTATTTTACACTACTCTCTTTACATAAATAAACGTATATGATATGATACACTATACTACTCTACCTACAGTATTATTCAAAGTATCTGAAGTTACTATAGTTACCCCTACTGACAAACTACAACATTAAAATGCTCTTTCATGTATTTTTAAGATTACTTTTACTTTTTATGATGATAATAGTTCTGTACTTTTACTTTTCTTAACTAACAATTTGCATCCAAGACTTTTCCTTGTAAATGAGAGTTTTTAACTATAGAGTATTTCTGCTTTTACTGATCATTAAAGAGGGAATAAAAGAAATTACATTTGTTTTTATGTCTCCTCCTGGTACCGAGAAGACCTAGATAACCTTTGTTTCTTATGAATATTCTGCCCAATGTACATATTTTACTTTTTAAAATATATACTTTTATAAAATGATATAAATCTGTATGTCCTTCATGAGCTACAGACATTTCTTTTCTCTATACACAACAGATTGATATGGTTGTTATGTAGCATCACGTGATCTCCTGATTGTAGGTGGAGCTGTTATTTTGTCTGTATATATATAACCTGTTTTTTGTTCCCTTGAATATTTGCCTCACAGGTTTAAACACTCTATTCACAGAAACTTGTAGGATCTTGCAAATGTCTTGCCTCTCCTTTTCCTTTCTGGCTGGTTTTTGTCCTGCAGCTGTACCCAACTGGTGCACACTAGTCACCTTTTATGCTCAATAAATAAATTGAAACCTCTCTGCTCTTTTCCAGATTATCTGAAGAACCTTCCAGAGGACTCTGAGGATTACAAAGACACACAAGGTTAGACAATACTCACCATAAGTGTCTACCAGGACCATCAGTTGTGCTGAAACTAATGTTTTATCTTTTGCTGTCCATGCAGCTGCCCTCAGCATAGTGAAAGAAGTGGCCAACCATGCGAATGACATTATGAAACAAGGGGTAAGACCTTATTCCATACAAAGCTTTATGTTTTTTGTCTATTTTAGCCTCGTGTTTCTCCTCACCACTGCCATGTTTGTGTTTCAGGATAACTTTCAGAAGCTAATGCAGATTCAGTACAGCCTCAATGGTCACCATGAGATCGTTCAGCCGGGCAGGGTGAGTCAACTTTTTGTACAATCTCACCCAAACCAAAGTAGCCCAGTTTCACACAGGTGTAAATTCTCCCAGAAGACTGACAAATACCAGCGTTACCCATTTTTAGATTTCATTTCAGTTTTCCTTTAACAAAAATACGAGACGCAGAAACAAAACTTCACATTTCACACAGAAATTTGAATATCTTATACTAATAATGAGTGCAGACTACTCGAAAAGGCTCCAATAACTGATAATAATATTCATTATTACATTAATTCTAACCACCAAAATCATAATTGAGCTGATATTTCAGTGTCTTCTGATCCCTCCCAGCTGTGTTTTTATTTTTGTGCTCATTATTTCTTTAAAATTAGTATTAAGTATTATACATAGTAGTATTATTTAGCCTATGTAGATGTTTTTAAATGCATTTAGACCAAAACATGTCCACGTTTGCAGGTGTTTCTGAAGGAGGGCACTCTCATGAAGCTGTCCAGGAAAGTCATGCAGCCACGGATGTTCTTTCTGGTGAGCAATAGATGGAAAATTGTCAGAAACTGAGTAAATTTAATCTTTTTCCTCTGTAAATCTGTCTGTATTTCTCTCTAAACTTCTGTTGTGTCTGTGTTTCTTCAGTTCAATGATGCCCTCATGTACACCACTCCAGTCCAGTCTGGCCAGTATAAACTCAACAGTGTCCTCTCTCTGGCTGGGATGAAGGTTAGAAACACACTGCGAACACAGCACACTGTAACGCTGGATATGAATCCTGTACTTTGAATTAGTTTTATATACTCACTTTTATTATTATAGGTTCCCTAAACTACATATATTCCTGTTCTTACTGACTATGATTCTTGTTTCTATGTTCAGATTTTGTTCCTGTGTTAGATGTTATTTATTTATTTTTAATATTTGATTCCATATTGCATTTTTTATCATAGCTTCAGCTCATCAGTTGCTGTTTTTGTACCACTGCTTTTGATTCCAGTTCCCATAGATGTACAAGTGTCGGCCTACACTGAAATACCAGCTATAGTGAATTATTGATGCATTGTTTACAGTCACAGTTTCAGCTGGTTCTCAATCTCTGGTAGTAATCTGTTATTTATGGTTTGTGGTGTGTGTTTTTTTTCCAGGTGAGTAAACCCAGCCAGGAGGCCTATCAGAACGAGCTGAACATTGAAAGCGTTGAACGCTCTTTCATCCTGTCTGCCAGGTCAGCACTCAGCCATAACAGCTTACGGTTACATCCAATATATCACATAAACACTTCAATTTGCTGGAGCCGAGAGTTATGATGTATTTTGTGCTTGCAGCTCGGCTACAGAGAGAGACGAGTGGCTGGAGGCCATCGCCAAGGCCATAGACGACTACACAAAGAAGAAAATAACCTTTATATCAAGTCGAAGTCAGGAGGAGGTAAAACTAGACAGTAAATCAGTGTGGGTGTGTGCTAAGTGTTCTTGAGTGCGTCCATATTGATCCTCAGTCCCTCTCAACTCAGGCGGAGGGCGTTGTTGACAGCGGGGCCCCGTTGGGTTCAAAAGCTCCCATCTGGATCCCAGACCTGAGGGCCACCATGTGCATGATCTGTACCTGCGAGTTCACCCTCACCTGGAGGAGGCATCACTGCCGCGCCTGTGGCAAGGTTCATACATAACTACAGCTCTTCCTACTCTCGATCAGCACTGCACGTTATTTACTTAACCGTCGTCTCATCACAGTTGTATGTATGTGATTCTGTAGGTCGTGTGTCAGGCATGCTCGGCCAATAAGTACTACCTGGAGTACTTGAAGAACCAACCAGCACGTGTGTGCGATCACTGCTTTGCCAAGCTGCAGGAGAATAGTAAGTAAATGAGGATTTCAGATATTGTTTTGGATGTTCATGTTGCGTCGTTTGCACCACTCAACCATTTGTATTCATTCGCCCCAAACAGCCAGTGTACGCCCCAATAAGAGCATGTTTTTAGCTCAAGAAGAATTATTTCCAACTCATCTGCCACTGAAAAAAGTCCCCAACAAACACTATTTCCTCCGATTTCAGTAACGTTTGAAAAAAAGAAATCACAGTGAGCTTTTTAGAGATGAAACTGTATATTTGTGAGCTTAGTTTTGATCTTTTCCATGGAACATATAATAATATATATAATTATATATATAATTTATATTCCATATAAACAGTAATAAAATACAGAATATCGTCAGATTTATTCTTTTAATGTGATAATAACATGGTTTTGGTGTATTTATTGTTTTGTTTTTGTTTTTTTAGGTGACCGTTGTGCCTCAACGTCAGTTTCTCCAATCAAATCTGGAGCTTTCCCCTTCACGAGAAAACAGAAGAAAATTCCTGCTGCACTAAAAGAGGCAAAGAACATAAATTAACACTCATGGGCTAAATATGCGGAGTACTTTTTTGGCGCTCAACTTGCTTCTTATATCTTGTAAGTATGTGAAGTGACTTTATTTTATTTCTCATGCCGTTCTTTCAGGTTTCCGCCAGCACAGAGAATTCCTCCATGAGCGGCTACTTAAACAGGTCCAAAGGCAACAAGAAGCAGTGGAAGAGGCTGTGGTTTGTCATTAAGAATAAAGTCCTGTACACCTATGCTGCCAGCGAGGTACGTGAGATGCGTGATTTGCTGTTTTACTAAACTCTGCGTAGCTTTTCTACCGTGTGGTTGAGTAATTATTTCTCCCTCTAGGATGTTGCGGCGTTGGAGAGTCAACCCTTGCTCGGGTTTTTCTTGAGGGAGGAGAAGAACGGGCCGGCTCAGAAGCTGCAGTTCAAGCTGTATCACAAAAATACGCTGTTTTACATCTTTAAAGCTGACGACATCCCCACTGCACAGAGGTACCTGAATTAAGACCTCAAAAAGTTGTAATCCTTAAGATTTCAGTCCTGGTTCACTCGACAACAGCTGTGGTTACCGTAGTTACAGAAAGTGTAACCATGAACCCCGCCACAACTATATAAAGAGATAATGACTAAACTATTAAATGGCTTTTGCTGAAAAATGACAACTATAAATAATATTTCAAAAACAGTCTTTGATTTCATGAAAATTTTACAAATTATAACTTTAAATCATTTTATTGTGTTTGCCCCAGTGGTAGTTAATTTTCTGTTTTGTATTTTTTTTTGTCTTTAGATGGATCGAAGCCTTCCAAGAGGCAATGATTCTCGAACAGTAAATTGGATTTACAGCAGTGAAGTCGTATCACAGCCCCGGAGCCAGTTGATAGACAACTTACGACCCTTGATTGATCTCAGGTCAAGGGTCACCAGCTCAGGAAGGACTCCGGATGGACTGTTTACTTTAAACAGAAACCCACTGCGCCACATACTGTATGTCTGAAACCAGACTGCTTTTTCCCCTCAAACTCGAACTGGATTCTGTTTCTCCAAACATATTTTCTATCAATAACGGCTACTGATGCTCAGCAGTGCTGGCTGAGGTCACAGTTAATAGTTTGTCGCAGCTGTGGGTCAAAGGTCAAGTCCGGAAGCATGTGTGTGGAAGTGAGACAGAACAGTTGTCAGGAATATTTAAAGCCCTCGGAAATCCCGGGAAGTCTGGGAATTATTTTTAATTGTAAAAGGATGAAGGAATTACCTTTTTGTGTGAAACAAAATATAGAAAACTATCCGCCTTCATTCGATCACGTTGACCTTGGCTACACTTAGTAGTTTAAAACCATGTTATTTTGTTTGGGAAAAACCCAAAGATTCAATTTTAAAAACACACACAGATCATAAAATATTCAAAATGGTAAAATGTTTCTCCGAATCGTGGATGCAAAGTATCGCAGATGTCTGTTCAAGAGTTTAACGATGTAACAAGGTGGGATTTTACTGTGAAAATCCAGCTTCTACAAAGAAACAGGAAGTTGATGTTCTACTCTTTGGGTTGATCTCTCTGGTTAAGAGATTTTACTCCTGTATTTTTAAAAACTTAACATACAAAACATTTAAGTCATGGGTTTAAAAAATAAATAAAAAAACAGCATCCTGGAGAGAACTGGAAATGTCATGAATATTGTAGATATTTTTCATACAATTTAAAATGTATTTTTGCCTGTTTAACCACATTAGAAATGGTTAATGGGTAAAACTGTGTATATGGACATGAAAGAGCAACATTGACCTTTTTTTATATATCAAAGCCAAGAGCTAATATTTATAAAATAGGAAGATTTATTGTTTGAAAAGCACAGGCTGCCACTTATTTTGGGAGTCAGGATTTTCTAGGAAATGTGTTTCCCATCAAAACCATTATTCTTTTAAATTTAAAAGAGAACTGCTTACAGAAAAGGGGCTTTTTTTTTTATGAGCAAATACTGTGGAAAGTATGCATGAACTATATTTCTAAGGAAATGCTCAAAAGGAAGAAAACATTTTTGAATTTTGATGCTCGTTTTTTGCCGACATTGTGCCTTATATCTCCTGTTACGAGATAAATTGCAATAATATAGGTGCTCTGTTTGAAATTCTTCACTAAAAAAGGAAAAATGTAAACATGACTACTCACTTTCCAGCCAGGGTACTCTGGGTTTGTAGTTTTAAAATCAGTTTTCAGGGCTGTTTCTTCTTAGTTAGGTTGCCATATGTTGCACTACCCCATTAGGGTGAATGATTCCACAGTTGAAGAAACAGAAATCCTGCTTCTTCTTATTTTTTAGTGAAGGAATAAAACAGTTAATACTGTAATTATATCCCTTTTTCATGTATGCCTCGTTCAGATTTTTCGGCTAGTGAGGTAGAAACCTGCATCCGCCTGGTGTGAAAATGCTAGTCAGGAGCTACCAAGCATGCGTTTCTTCATGATTGTACATTAACAGTGACCATTTGTAAACATCTACTCTATCAGAGTTAGAGTCTCCTATAAACAATGATTCTAAACTGTCAGGCAACAGTTTTTAATAAAAATATATATAAATATATACCTTGTCTTCCTGTATTCATTTCCTGTTCTGTCATTTAAATTGATGAAAGTGAGCTTTAATTATAACATAATCACAAACTACTGTCACTACTTAATTGCAGAGTGCAGACGGATGAATGTGGGAGGCAGTAGTTCAGCTGTCTGTCGCATCCATCGTCTGGGCCTCCCTTTGAGCGGCCGATCAAAGCCCCGGTTTTAGAGATAAGGCATTTTTAATGAGTGAGTCATGATACCAAAGCTCTGGATTTTTACTGAGACTTTATGCTCTATTTCCCCTCCGTCTCCCTGAGCTGTGACACTAGACCCTGTTAGATCCACCCTCTTGGGCAGTAGAGGGATGTCAGCTCGTTGAGAGACCGTCCTTTAATTAAAAAAAGCTTGAGTTAAAGTCTGTCTGGGAACATCGGGGCTGCTGCTGAAGGGCCCTCGAGCAACCTGCTGAATACTCATTTGCTGAATTTGCTTTGATTTACCAGTTCCTTGTTAATATTTTAATGTGTGACTCAAGTTGTGTAGGATTTAAAATGGTATATATGGTAAATATATATGCACATGCACACTAGGGTCATACACAAACATATCTAAAGACTCCCTGTCTTTGCATATGTTTGTGTTTTATTGATGTTTTTCTCTGGTGTTTTGTTTGTTACACACCATAAGGAAACAACATTTAATTTCAGCTTGTTTGTTATACTTAATATGACTTTCTGCATAAAGAAAATTGGCAGTGATATGTTATCCAATCCAATCCAATCCA